TTTTTTTTCCAGTGATTTTCTTAGAGAGAGTTGAAAGGAGGGAGGGAGTGGGGGGGGGGGGGAGAGAGAGAAACATCAATGTAAAAAAGGCACATCACTGGTTGCCTCCCACATGCGCCTTCACCAGGGCCAGGAGTGATCCCTCAATTCTAAAAAGTATATTTTTAAACTAATATAAACAAATTTTAAACTTCTAACTAGATTCTAACATATTACTTTTTTCACATTTTAACTGGATGTCTTCAAATAGAGCTCATTTAAAGAACTATGGTTCTTCCCCACAGTTCCCCAAAACTATTATTTTTAAAATGTTAATTTTTCTATTTCATGACGTCTAGAATCATTAGAAGTTCCCTGAATCCCAGTCTCAACTATTGCCTTAAGCCTATGTTTACAGAATGTCTTGAAAACAATGCACATGTGTTATATTTATGAATAGATCAATCGAATTTGTAATTAACAGCATTAATTTGCACGCTGTTCACTAAGTCCTGAAAAGAATTTGTTATCAAGTATATTAACCATGCCCAAATCCTGTTGTTTATAGTATTAGATTAGCAGACCCCTTTCTTCACTTCCACTGCTAATGTAATCTTCAGCCACCAAACAGACATTTAATCACAGTTAAATTTCAATTAATGACCCTGAATTAATGAGGTTTTACTATACTCAAATGGAAAACCAGATACATGAAATAACTCAACTGTCAGCAACAAACGTCAGTAAAATAAATTTGCAATAAGTTCTTTTGACAACTGCAGAAAAATAGCATTGTTTAATACTCCATATTTTTGTTTTCTTTTAAAGCAATATTACCAATCTCACTCAGCAAGAAAATGGGTGGCTTGAATTCTTGCTTACTTAATATTTTACTTAGTTACCATCTGCTTGCTTATATGATCTTAGATATCTTCCCAGAACTTCCCTATGTATATTTTGTCTGCACAAAAAGTACATAAGCTGAAAATACACAGAAAGATAGCCACCTTTTTTGGATTCCCCTCAGCCAAAAGCAATATGACACAAAGCACAAGAGTGCCCTACCTAGAGTTTTTGAGACATTCCCTAAAAGTCTTCCCAGGAATTTACCCCTCAACAACCTGCCATGATATCTGGAATTTATACCATTAAAATCAGTTCAGGTACAAGACCCTACAGAATACCTGGATTTGGGAACAGAGGGAAGGGCAAGAGATGAAACAAAGCAGTGTATTCACTCATCACATACAGTTTAATTTCCTCTAAGCATTTAACTGTCATGTAGCAAAGTTCTACTGCCAGCAGGGAGTGTTAAGGCCACACTAGGAGTTAAAGGCAGGAACACAAAGGGAGAAATGAAGAGAAGCTCAAGTTTGGAAAAAGGCCTGTGAAGTATCACTACAGAGAAAAACCAGACTATTGGGTGTGTATGGGAGGGGGCGAAGGAGGGAGTAGTTATTCTTCTATTTATTACCCTCTGTCTTTAGACTTATATTATGCAATGTTTCTTTTTTTAAAATGTAAAACAATGGATAGAATTATTCTGATTTCCAACAAATGTCATTACCAAAATGTTTTCTCTGAATTTTTATACTTTCCTTTTTTTTTATATCCAAGAATAATCTAAATGACATCGGTAGTTTTGCTAAATGCAGTAACTTTTTCAAGGTAATTTAAAATGAATGCTTTTCATTTCCAAGCTGCCGTTCATCTCCTTTTATTTGTAAGGCTTAGGAAACTGATAAGGGTACCTGAACAAACTCCAGAAGGTGCTGCAAACCTAAAAAATTATAGTTAATTGAAACTTAAACTCAACCTATCTTTCTAAAGTTGCATTCTGGAAGTATAAATCAAGAGAATCATACTATTACAAACACAACCACAAGCACAGCTTTATTTGTAAATAGCAGTTTGTTATACAACAAAAAACAGATCACACTAATGAAGGTAACTGTAAACAAATGCCATGGCACACCATGGTAATAAAGATCCAAATACCTCTTATTTCTCTATGTAAGCAAATACCTGTAACTGCATTTGGTAAAAGGAGAGAAAGCTTAGGGAGCACAGAAATTTCCTCAAGGATAATCCCATTCTTTTTTGTTTTTTGTTTTTTTTTTTGCCATACCTGATAAGAGGGCCCTCCAGTCTCTATTATTTTATTTGTATTATTTTTGTTCTTTTTTTCATTTTAACTTTTTTATTATTAATTTAATTAATGTATTTTTGTTATAGGTGTTGTTCCTTTTTCCCCCACTGACACCCCCCACCCCAGCACTGTTGTCTATGTCCATTGGTTATGTTTATATGCGTAAGTTCTTTGGTTTATCTCTTCCTTCCACCACCCCACCCCCCACTCCCTCCTCTGAAGTTTGTCAGTCTGAACCCTAGTTCTATGTCTCTGGGTCTATTTTGTTAATTCCGTTCTTGCATTAAAAAATAAGTAAGTCAATCTTAGATCACTGAGATGAAGTTTTAGCAAAATTTAGAGTAAAGTCATGTTTTGTGAGCTTTCCTAATTTTTATAAATATGAAAAATTGTTGGGTAATGTTTTCCATTCATCATACATGTCCTTTGCACTCACTAAGCATCTGTATACATATTCAGGGGAACTGCTATTTCATGGTATACTGATCATCAAAATAGATGATCATCTCAAATAATTGTAAAAATCATTCGTATGACAAAATGTTGAATCCAACATTTTCTACTGCCTTTTAAGCCTACAATATAAAGTCTGTAAGAAAGTATAAGAGAAACAGAGGCAGTGTATCCACCTTAAAAATCAGGATTCGCCAATAAAACTTTTTTCTATAAATTTTCACATCCAGAGGCCTATCAAAACAAATGTAAAATTAACTTTTCCTATTTTGTGTCTATTACCCACATTTGCATTTCAGTTCTGCAATAATATGTAAACTGAATTTTTGAATTATGGATTAGTGTGTGTACTTATAATGATAAGCTTTATTTACAATAATATATATAATATAGCATTGAAAAAAAAGACAAAACAGCCAAGGAATGGTTGAATGGGCGGGCTCTTTCATATTAACTGGTAAAGACACCAAGCCTGAAAGTATGAACAACCATTTTCATATTCTTCATTTGCTGACAATTTTACACTTACATTTAGAATCCACATTATGTGATTTAAAATAGGAAATGTGGTGTTATGTGCGTGCACATAAGTATTTTTTAATTGCTGACACGTTTACTGCTAACATTTAAATTGCAGGCTTTATATTAACTGAAAACAGGTAATCTTAGCATACACACTGGAGTTATCCTAAACTTCATGCATTAGGGAAATATTTGTTATTCTCTGATATTGTAGCAAAAGGTCTTAATTGTTTTTAAATGTCAACAGAAAGCCTTAATACAAACATAGTTCTCCTGAATGAATCTGAATCGACTGTTTACAGGAGAAACCATGCCTGCAGAAAGAATAGCTGTGCATCTGTGGTCCTAGTACCAGTAATTTTTCAGGTATCTCCTTATTTTGATGGGTCTGTGAATACTAAACTGAAGCAGGAATGATTGTAATATAACCAAAATAAAAAATATTGTCTTCTCTTTTTCTTATAAAAGAGACCACAATTTCCCCCATCATCACACACAAGTTTCAAAACTGAGCAAACCTGAATGAAGCAATGAACAATTCTGAAGCCCCAATGACTTCTGTTTTCATGGTCTTTAGGCTGCTGGATTACTTCACCTAAGGGCTCATGATGCAAATGACTTTATTGCCTTCACTCTACTTGCAAGCTCTGGCCACATAAGAGCCTATCTCTGTTCTACACCACACACACACACACACACACACACACACACACACACCAACGTTGTTTCCAATTTCAGAGGCCCGCTCTGCGCCTAGCCCACGCCCAACCGTGCTTTGCTCTGCATTCTGACCCCAGGAATGAGGGATACTACTTAATCCTTGCGGATCTGCTCTGTTCTATCACCCTTCCAGGATTCCTAGGATGGTTCCTCCCCGACTCCACCAAGGAACACAAGGAGGGCGGAGGGATTCCCCCGTGCGATAGAGGAGACTACCTCTCCCCTTCCTCAGCCCATGCATCCCAGCTTCTCTTTGCCAGAAATCCCAGAGCCTTCCCCGCAAGGAGCATAGGATCCCGGGCTCTGGGAGAACCAAACAGCCCATTAAAAAGGGGGTGACAGGGGCACTGAGGAAGCAAGCGAGGCGAGTTCACCACTAGGGAGGTGTGATCCAGAGAGGAACCATTCAAGAGCAATGACAGGTCGGCGGGGGAAGGCTGGGGGTGGCGAGGGAGGTTGGAGAAGCGCCTTTCTCCGGGCCTGTGGGGGAATCCCGGGGCAGCGACGGTGGGACTCTCGGGTTGTTCCCCGCCTCCTGCGCCCCCGCGCGTCCCCTACACCACCCCCTCTCCCTGCGGCCGCCCCCGCCCCGCGCGGAAGGCAGCGCCGGGCTCCCCCCACGCTCTCCCGCTCTCTCGCGAGTCCTGTGCAGGCCCTTCCAGGGGGAGGGGGAGGGGGCGCGGAGGGAATTGCTGCAATGGAGCTCCGAGAGAACCCCAGCCCGAGCCAGGCAGTCTGTGGAAAGCCACGGCCATATAAAAATGCCATATTAATTTTTTAAAAGCCATAAATCACCCCTCCCTATGCAAAAGAAAACCATACACCCGATCCCGTGCAAGTCAGTGAGCAGCCACCCACTTCCTATTTCTGTCACAGCAGCTACACCCCGCCAGCAACCACCCCCTGGGCGCCCCCTCTCGCCATCGCCACCCCCGCGGCCGCCTCCCCAAAGCTCAGCCATTTGCCAACTGACGCCCCCGTAAATAAAAATGCCCCAAGTGAGCCTGGAAGGGAGGCGTGGGGGAAGGGCGCGCGCGAGAGGGGGGCAAGGGTTGCACAATATCCTAGAAGGTCCGTGGCTGGAGCAGGGAGAGGACCCGGGGCGGGGGAGGGGAGGCGAGCCGCCCGGGTGCCTGCGGCACACGGTGCACCCGGACGACCGCGGCGCGCCGCTTACCTTTCACCACCCTGTCGGTCGTCGACAACTTGGGATCAATTGCCTTGGGCTCGGACATCTCCAGCCGCCGGGGGACAGCGACGCGCTGTTCGTCCGTCCTACTGCACACCCCGACCGGACCGGCGGGCCAGACACTCAGCGCCGCCGCGCTGCAAACCGCTCCGCTGGAGGTCTGGGTTCTGAGCTGGCTTTAAAGTTACTGCCTTCTCCGCGCGTCCCTCTTCCTCCTCCTTCTCTGCCGCCGCCTTCACTCCTCCGCCGCTGCCGCCAGCCCCGCCGACTCCGGTCCCGGCACGCGTGTGTGGTGGTTATTTATTTATTTTCCAAGCACGCCTCTCGGTTCTTTTATTCTTGGGGAAGGGGGATGGGGAGGAGAAGCGCACACACGAGCACCCACCCTGGCACGGAGACCGGGCACCGCGGAATGGAGCCCCACGCGCGCACACTGCCGGGATTAAGACCGATCACATGGGGAGGGCCGGGGGCGAGGGAGGAGAGGCAGGGCCGTGGATGTCAGTGCCACCAACCGCGCCTCGGCGTCCCCGGCGGCGGAGAGGCGCCCGCCGCTGCTGCTGCCGCTGCCGCTGCTGCTGCTGCTGCCGCTGCCGCTGCCGCTGCTGCCGCGCTGTCGCTGTCCCTGCCGCTGCTTCCCCACACCGAGCGCCGCAGCAGGTCCGCGGCCGCCGTACACGTCCCGCCGCCGCGCTGGCCCCTGACTCCCCGCGCCGCTCCTTCACTCACACAGGCAGAGCCGTGGAGCTCGGCAGACACAGTCCCAGGCGCAACCTACCCTCCTCCTCCGCCGCCGCCTCCTCCGCCGCCACCGCGCCCGCCTCCGCCTCCTCCCCTTCCTCCTCCCGGCCCCCTCCTCTAGGGCCCGATCAGCCTCCTCCTCCGCGCGGAGCCCGCCTCCGGCTCTCCGCCCCGACGTCGTAGCTGTGGGCGTTTATTGGCTGGCGTGCGCGTCACTCTATGCCAGGTAGCGGCCTCCCGGTTCCGCCCGCCTCCCACTTCTCGCAGTCCCGCCCCCCGCTCTGTTTTCTCCCAGCTGCCAGTCCGGCGGGCCTGCCGCCTCTACCGCTCAGTCCCTGCTCAGGTGTCACTGTGGCCGGCAGGCCGGGATTGGGGAAAGAGAATGGGCGGGGGTCACGGCTGGGCGGAGAGGGGCTCGACTGAGCCACCCTGCCCCACTGGGCTCCCGCTCCTGGACCCCGCACACACCCCGCGCCGCTTGGTAACCGTGCCTAGGCGGCGGGGCTAAGCGGCTGTGTGAGTACCCCAGTGCAGAGGGTGTCTCCGGGTGTGTGCGTGGCCCTCGAGAGAGCTAGGAGGGAGGTGGGAGGGAAGGAGGGAAGGGGTGGGGGAGAGAAGGCCGAGGGAGGGCGGAGGAAGGAAGAGCGCGGGGAGTTCCGCGGCCCGAGGCACAGTTGCTCCGCTGCTGCAGCTGTCCAGGGAGGATCGCCAGAACGTCGACGAATAAACAACTTACCTTGGGGAACCGGGTTCCGCCTATGAGGGGTATCACGGCTATTTTAGGTCTTAAGCCTTTTATGCGGTCGGTTTGGTGCTTACTAACATGTACCACCCTTGCTTCCCTACCTTCCGCGGGGTCTGAGGGGGGCTCCGAGCGTCGCCGGCCGGGACGCGGCGGCATGTGCGGCGCGCTATGGGACCCGGGAGTGGCCTATCCAAGGAGGATTGGAACACAGTCCTGATGACACCGAACAACTGAGTCGACGCCGGGGACACTCTGAGACTCTGCAGTCTCCAGGGAGAAATGGGGGGGGGGGTGGAAGGGGGGTATCAGGAGAAACACCGGAGAGGGTCGCCTTTTCCCTGTTTGCACACGCAGCCACTGGTTGGGATTCGTGACACATCTCCCTTCCCTGTTCTGTCCAGTTGCTGGACACCCATTTGATGCTACCGCAATGGATAAGTACAGGGCCTTGAAGCCTTAGGAGGATCTACACTATGGTCCCTCCATTTGGAAGGAGAATAAAGAGAATTCAAGTCAGAGGCCAGAGGGTGACAGTGGCCCAAATGCTACCTCTGCCAAGTCAACTCCGCAGTCTTGCTCTCAGACCAACCTCACTTCAGCACCAAGGACTGGCAAGGAGTTTGGAGTTTCTTTGGGAATAATGAAGAGAGCTAAATAAATTTCCCACCCTCCATCCTTCCTGTTTTATTTCCAAATTCCTTCAATATCAACATTTTCTATTTCCTGAAAGGAACCATGAGTCTAGTAAAAGGCCTAATAAAAGATTTAGGGAGCTAGGAGATAGAGCCAGAAGTGTTTGGGGGTAGGGATTACATTAAAGTTCAAAATTACAAATAAGTTTTAGATATTGAATGATGGTGCTGGAGTATGACTTGAACAGATTGGCCTGCAAGGAGTAGGAACTTACTCTAGAAAGCAGGTGAGCCTCTTTGGAGGCTCATGCAGGGTGTGTCCCACTGGCTCAGGGAGGCTGCCCTGGCTCCAAGATTCTGCTGCCCAATTCAGAATCCAGGATAGTGTGTGGTAATTAGGCAGACAGTACATTCAATAAATATGTGTTGTTCTTTTATATACCAGACACTGTGTTAAGTAATGGGGGGGGGGGGGCATGAAAATGGTCCTTGCCCTCAATAAAACCTAAAGTCCAATTGAACTGTCATAAAAATATGAGCTCTAGAAGCCACTGTATCATCTGAGGAAGGGGTTGTTAAGAACAGCCTCCTAAGTATGAGCAGAGCTAGTTGTTAAAGTAGATTTGGGAAGTTTGTCCCTTTTCAGATGGCACATAGCCAGGCAGATATGCCAAGACTTGTGGGTGACAGTGCCCGCTTGAGGGAACCATGTCCAGGGATGCTCACTTCTGAGACCACGAAGTTCTCTCCCACATACAGAGATGCAGTTCCCACCATTTTTTTTTTTTTTTTTTTTGACTCACTTTTCAGGTTTAGAAAAAACACACCTTTAAACCAAGGTCAAGGCTTAAAATGTCAGCACCATAGAAAAGTTATATGATGCAGAGAGGAAATAAAGGCACACCTTTGAGGCACACCTTTCAGTCCACTACAAGTCTAAGATACCTAACTAAGGTATGTGTGGGGAAAAAATGGTTATGAATCATAATCACTTTATAACACGTTTGTCATCAGGTACCTTTAATACATGTTTATAGTTCCATACCACTGTAATACAGCCACATCCTAAACAAAATTGGACCCTACTCTAAGGAAAACTAGACAGCATCATGTTCATTGGGGACTGATTACATCCATACACCTGGCCTGCTGAAATAGCCAAATCATCTTTTCTATTCTAATTTTTTTTCCCAATGTCCTACTATCTGCTACTGCCGTTTTTTTAAAAAAATCCTATTAGACTGCCTAGGTTGACTATGATTATATTACACTTGTATAAGATTACCTTATATTTGGAATCTACATTTTTCAAGCAATTATTTGATACTGACTTTAGCAATGTTTTCTGCTTATAAAGAAATAGAAATGGCCCTGGCCAGTTTGGCTCAGCGGTTAGAGCATCGGCCTGCGGTCCGGAGAGACCCGGGTTCGGTTCCCGCTAAGGGCACGTGCTTCGGTTGCAGTTTGTCCCCGGCCCTGGTTGGTCGTACAGGTGGCAGCCACTCGATGTGTCCCTTCACATCGATGTTTCTCTCTCTCTCTCCCTTCCTCTCTCTCCCTCCCACTCTATCTGTACAAAAAATGGAAAAATATCCTCGGGTGAGGATAAAAAAAAAAAAAGAAATAGAAATGAAGAGAAAAAAAGAATCTTAGCAAAAAAACAGTAACTTGTTATCTACCAAAAACTTGTATTTTCCCTTCCTTCATATATTTCTCTCTGAGAAGCATGTGCCCAGGTAGGAATTCTATTTCCTGGCCTGCACCTACTTGCATCTAAGTGGGTCCATGTTACTTGTTCTGGTCAATAAACTGTGGGCTGGAGTGTTTTATTAATTTCAGGCCAAAACAGTTAAGCAACAGATATTCATTGTCCAGCCTATGAGCTCCCATCCTTTAGCTGAATGAAGAGGCTTCTAGGGTCCAGGGGAAGGCATAACACCAAATGGAAAGAGCTAACCTCCTGAATTACCACCTAGAGGAATAATGCTGCCCGCCTACTACGAAAACCTGCATCAGACTTTACATGAAGAAAACATTTATTTTGTTGTTCCATCGAAATTTGGGGATATGCTTGTTAGGGTAGCTAGTATTATCAAATTAGTACACAGAAGTTGTTAGTTCAAAAAGTGAAATTTAGCCCGGACAGTGTGGCTCAGTGGTTGAGCATCAACCCATGCACAAAAGAGGTCACCAGTTCAATTCCGGTCAGGGCACATGCCCAGATTGTGGGCCTGATCCCCAGTGGGGGGCAAGCAGGAAGCGGCCAATTGATGTTCTCTCTCATGGATGTTTCTGTCTCTCCTTTTCCCTTCGTCTCTCTCTAAAATCAATAGAAAAAAAAATTTTTTTAAGTAAAATTTAGATTTATTCTGTTATGTAACAGAACTACCAAACTAAAAGTATTCTTATTTCTTTTAACCCATGAGCATCAAATTTTGACTTCTTGTAAATAAATTATTCATTTACTAGTTGTGTTTTGAACACCTGTTCTGTACAAGATACTGTGCTAGATGATGCATAAATGTATAGAGTAAGGATTGAAAGATTTAGTCCTTTCATTCAAGGATCTCAAAGTCTCATGTACAAGAATTGTACGCATATTACCTTTGCAAAAATGTAGGTATAAGGTTTAACTTCCTTTCACTATTGGAGAACACAAACTAATTTTACTATTGACTTCACAACTACCTATGAAGATAAATATGTGAGGAATGAAAGAAAACATGAAGATTTGGCATTATCTATGCATTCAAATGCTCCAAGTAACAGCTTACTTCTTCAGGGCAAATCATAGTAAATGAACAATATTTTAGTTTGCTGTTAAGTGCTCGGTTGGGTGTCATCCTGTGGAGTTGCCAATTTGGTTCCAGGTTGGGCACCTGCGTGGGATGCAGCTCAGTACCTGTGGGGCCGTGTGGGAGGCAGCGATCAATATTGTGTTCTCACATTGATGTTTGTTTCTCTTTCTCTCTAAAATCAATAAAAACTGTTTTTAAAATAGAGGCATTATGTCTGGCTGGTGTGGCTCAATGGTTAAGTGTTGACTCATGCACCAAGAGGTCGCAGGTTCAATTCCCAGCCAGGACATATGCCCAGGTTGTGGGCCTGATCCCCAGTGGGGGGCATGCAGGAGGCGGCCAATTGATGTTTTCTCTCATCAGTGTTTCTAACTCTCTCACTTCCTCTCTAAAATCAATACAGAAAAAATTTTTAAATAGAGGCATTATTTTTTAAGAAAAGAACTAAAGATATTGTATTTTATATCTTGCTTTGAGAATAACCTGCTTTAGAAGTTTTAAACTTTCTTTTGGTTCTTGGATGACTTTACTATCATTTTGACATTAAGAGTTTTGACTCTTCTGGTTTTGGCTCTTCTGAGGAGTGCACTTTTGTTCTGAGTAGCTGATGGTAGATAGTATATCTGACCTATTCTCACCTGAGCCAGTAGAGCCTAGTGCAGAAGAACCCGCAGACTAGACAGCCAATCCTAGTGGGGCCATGGCTGTGTATGAGAATTTGATATATTGTCTTAGAGTTCATTCCCCTGATGTTTACGTCTAACATGTCAAGTTCTACCCTATTCACTGTAGAGGCTCCATGAAATATATTAGTCATCACAGATTTTATTATTTGAGGTTTAATCTAACAGGGTTTTCTT